GTCCGCCATCACTGCTCCATAAACCGGAAGTCCTCCATTACATCATTCTTGTTTATTTTATTTTATTTTATATATATACACATACACACATACACACACACACAGAGCCAGGTCCCCCGGGGGGCCGAGGGATTGCCCGCCCAAAGGGCCCCCAACCCTGCCGGTCCGGATCAGGCCGGCGGGGGGGACCCCACCCCCAACGTGCCCGGTTTGAGCCAACATGCCCGGCGTGATGAACTCACCCGGAAGTGACGTCATCACGTTGGGCACATCGCCTGCTGACGCTCTAGCAATCAGCCTGGAAACTCTATGGTACCATACAGTTTCCAGGCTGATTGCTAGAGCGTCAACTGGCGATGTGCCCAATGCGATGATGTCACTTCAGGGTGATGTCATCGCGGCATGCGTGCAATTTGCACATGCATGAGTGTCCCAGGCAGGGACCAACTCTCCCCCGATATCCCAAGTAAGTGACTCGGCAACCCTAATATATGCAGATTTCTTTATTCTTTCATTTTGCAATCCAATGTTTATTGTGTTGTTTGTTCTATAAAGGCTTTTGGGGTTACCTTGGGCCAGTCACACACTCTCCATCTAACCTATCAGACAGGAGGTGAATGATGCAAGCAGCTTTGGATTCCTATGGGGAGAAGGGCCGGGTATAAATGGGGTAAATAATTAACAAAGTACGTCAAGGTCCTGGAGGCTTCTGATTCACCCGTGCTGGAGAAGAGCAACCTTTGTTCTATGCTTTGTGCTGTCATTGAGCCTCCTTTTTGAACTGTGACAATCATGGCAGTGTGCCCTTCCCTTGCTACATGGAGTTGCCAATTGACAAAGCTGGCATTTCTGTCTGGTCCCCACCCTAGGACTATTGCACAGGGACTTCTGGTTGTATGAAGCAGCCCAAAGACTGGGTTGGGTCAGAAGAAGGAAGTATGGGCTCTCTCTGTCAAATCAAGAAGCGCATACAAATGTATGTCAGGGTCACAAAGCCCTTTTCAAAATTGGCACAAATTGAAGAGAGCCCCAGCACATCATCTTTCAAGCATTTCTTTCTCTAGAAGTCGAAAAGATCCCAAATGGCAATGCAATTATAAAAACTCCTTCAAATATATAATTTGCCAGATGTTGCTTGAAGAGCTTTTCAGATCGACTTTAATGGTAGGGCGCAAATATACACACATGATGCTGCTTTAGATAGGCAAGTCATACTAGAAACCAAATTTTCAACCTGGTATAAATCAATTAATAAATCAAAATAGGGATACCAGCCTCCAGGTGGGGCCTGGGGATCCCCTGGAATTACAGCTCATCTCCAGACTACAGGGATCAGTTTCCCTGGAGAAAATGGATGTTTTGAAGGGCAAACTGTATGGCCTTGTACCTCTCTGAGGTCTCTATCTTCACCAGGCTCCATTATCAGTTCTCCAGGACTTTCCCAACCTGGATCTGGCAACCCTACCCCCTCATCCCCTGCTGGTGGCCTGGGAGGACCTGGGAACCCTATTTTGTGCACATATAGCCCGTAACAGGATCAGACCAAAGAAAAACAATGTGCTGAAGAGCCGATTATTAAACTGAGATGGAAGTCCACAAAGAATGGCTATATTGTCCCAACTTTGCCCAGGTTAAAAGGTGATGAGCAGATTTCTGTGCTTCTGAAACATCTTCCCACTATGGAGCAATGATCTGGTGTTTATCTGTCTATCTATCTAGTCATAATTAATCAACTGTGCATGGGAAAGCACAGAAATTTTGTGATGCAATTGAAAATGGTCAGGTTCAGATGCATTGAAAACTGCCCTGTTTTTCACATCCGCACATCTTGAGCAGAAGGGGAGCTGAAAAGTACTTTCAGTGGAAATCTTCCCACAGCAGGACTCTTTATTGTCTATGCAAGAAAGCAGAGCTTGTTTCACTAGAGGGCACCACAGACTTTTAAGTTTCAGCCCGGTGGATCTGTCTTGCATGAGTTTGGCAACCTGAAGCAAAAATTGCTTGTCTTGCATGAAAACAGGTATATGTTTATAATCAAAAACATGCTTGCTGAAACAGCAGGCAAGATATCATATATAGGGCTGTGAAAAAAAAAAAAATTGGTAAAATTCGGATTCGGATTTATTGGATGCGAAAATATTTGGGATTCCCAAAAAATCCAGGTCCATTATCCGAGCCATTGAAGTCAATGGCAAAAATCCTCTGGAAAGTTTGCAGGGGGCTGGGGTGTGTGTGTTTAAGGTAGGGGCTCCAAATTTGGACTTTGGCTGCTCCAGCCTCTCCCCAAAAGAGTAAGACCCCCAAAGTTTTGAGAAGATTGGGCCAGGGAGTCCAATTCCAGGGGCATCCAAAGAGGGTGCCCCCAGATCAGATTGCTGCCTATTGCCGGTTTGCCGCCGAAATTCGGCAGCAATTTAGCCTCATTATATCCAGTGGGCCATTTGGCACATAGGTTATATTCTGGGGGCTGGAGGGGAGGGGGTTTAAGGGAGAGGCTCCAAACTCGCAGGGTAGCTGCTGGAACCTCTCCCCAAGATACCCACGAAGTGTCAAGAAGATTGGACCAAGGGGGCCAATTCTACAGGCCCCCAAACAGGTTGCCCCCATCCCTCCATTGTTCTCTATGGTGGGGAAAATGTAAAAGAGGTTTTTTCGGGATTTTTTTTTCGGTTCGGGATTTCGAAATGCACACCCCTAATCATATATGTGTTTTACTGAACATCAGAATGACCAAACCGTCTGAAAACTGACGAACCATCCTTTGCTGTCTTTGATCATATGAAATCTCGGATCTTTGATCATATGAAATCTTGGACCAGAGTAGCCATTTTTTTTTTGCTCTTTACATCCCATCAGTTTCAATTTTGGATTGCTTGGCACATGTCAAGGAAGCCCATTCCTGCCTTTCTGAAGGTTACAGATGCACAATGCAGTCCTAAGTGGAGTTATACCTTTCTAAACCCATTGAAGAAATGCATAACTCTGCTTAGGTTTGCACCAGCAGTCAGCCTGCTGAAGCTAAGCAGATCTTCCTCGTCTCCCAGCATCGAGTGAAATCTTGCAAGCCTGGAAGTGAAGGTAGAGCAGGTCAGGGGCAGGCAGATGAGTCCCCCCAATGGCTTCTGGTCCCCCCTGTCCTATTTGCAGTTTTACAAAATATGCACATATTTGTAATGCTTAATGGAGACAAACCCCAGAGTTGAGAACCAGCATTTTCTAGTGGTTAGAGTGTCCAACTAAGATCTGGGAGGGTTAGCAGTCAGACTCCTCCTCTCGTGGGGGGGGGCAGTCTATGGAGAGAAAACCCCATATAGATATCCGCTCAGATATCATGAGCTGCAATGCACTGCCTGGCCTAAAACATCAGACAATGGATGCCAACAAGAGACAAGGCTGGAACATAAAAAACAATGCAAAAGGACACAAGATGGATGTCAGCCAGGGCAAGTCTGGACATATAGATTAGAAGTGTGCAGGAAAGAGCAGCGGACCTACTAATTACCCTTTCCCACCCTAAAGAGATGCATCGTTCAGGACAATGGGTCTCCCAAAATAGGTGCCTCACCTTGGATTAACCTTGTCACATGCCCAGCCTCACTTCCCCTTACCCATTTACCCTAATTTAGCAACACTTAAAACCAGGACAGCATAAAATCTGGTAGCTTCTCCCATCCAGTACTTAGTGGATCATGAAGAAACATTAACACCTATAGTCTACCTCAGGTAAACTCATCAAGGCTTTGCCCAAGTCATTGTTCACCTTCAAAAAAGTAATCAAGTCATTGTTTTGGGGGCAAACATGTCAGAGTGCCCCAGAGAACATTTTATCCTATAAGAAGAAGAAGAAGAGATTGGATTTATACCCTGCCCTTCACTTGGAGTCTCAGAGTGGCTTACAAACTCCTTTCCCTTCCCCTCACCACAACAGACACCCTGTGATGTGGTGGGGCCTCTGAGAGAACTGCTCTTGAGAGAACAGCTCTGAGAGAACTATGGCTTGCCCAAGGTCATCCAGCAGGTGCCAGTGGAGGAGTGGGAAATCAAACCTGGTTCTCCCAGATTAGAGCCTGCGCACTTAACCACTACACCAAGCTGGCTGTCGACTAAACTGGACCACCCTGCTTCCCTAGTAGTGTTTCTGTGTTCTTAGTGTCAGACCTCACCCACCCACCCATTTGTGTGTGGGCCTCCTCCATCACTCTGTGAAATGTTGGTCATTTGACTGTTCTCTCCGCGGACCTCATGCTCCAAGACTGGAAACCAGGCCTCATTTCAGGCCGGAGCAGGCTGGAGCAATTCTCCAGCAGTAAACAGGCCCGCCCCTCCCCCCCTCCCAGGTCACCCACCATCAGAAGCATCCACCTACAGCTCACAGCGCCGGCACACCAGGAAGAGGGCAGGAGCTTCAGTTAACAAGATGCCCAATCTGTACAAACGTTGCCACTTCTGCCCAAGTGAGGCGCTTCACTCACAAAAGTTCAAGGAAGAAGGAGGAGGAGCAGGCAGCCTGAAAGTTGCAGGTGGAGCCGAATCGGCGGGCCAGTCCTTCCAAGGGCACATTCCAGAGGCCTGTGTCAGCGCCTGGCACGACCCTCCTTCCGCGCCGGGCCGCCCTTCAGTCCCCAGACCGGGCCCTACACTCCGCTGAATGGCCGCCTTGGCCCGCCAGCTGCTGCGTACCCTCCTCGCCACCCGGCCACACGCCAGGATGAGTCAGCCAGCCAGGCAGTCAGCGGGGAGCTGGAGGGTCGGGGCACCTCGGTGCTCGATGGGGCAGGCATGCGGGAGCAACCGTGGAGGGAGGGAAGCCAGCCAGGCGCTTTGCTTGGCTTCACCAGGCCATGGGGTGCAGCGGCACCACGGCTCGGGGCTGGCGGCGGCGGCGGAGGAGTTTATGCACAGCAGAGGGCGAGGGAGGGCACGCAGGGCATGGGAGGGCTGGGAGACGGGGGGGACTGGGCCGGGGGGGCACCTCTGTTGCAGCCCCAGCAGGTGGGAGGATGTCTGAGGTGCGCCAGGAGAGCACCAGCAGTTTGCAGAGGAAGAAGCCACCATGGCTGAAGCTGGACATTCATGCGCCCATGGGAGCAGCGGTGGCGGGCTCAGCCCTTGAAGCGCCAGACCTTCCTGCAGAGCATCAGCATGCCGGCAATGGGGGGGGGGGACTAAAGGGGGGGGGGTGCTAAAGAAAGCATACCAGAGAGAGAGATGGATTCCCTTTTGCATTTCTAATTGATGGGGGGGGGACCTAACAGTACAGCTTGCATTCATTAGTGAAAGGGAGCAACAGTCCAGCAGCACCTTAATGAAAAGACTAACAAAATCTGTGGCAGGGCATGAGCTTTCATGAGTCACTGCTCACTTCTTCATATACAGCTGGAATGTGAGAGCCAGTTTGGTGTAGTGGTTAAGTGTGCAGACTCTAATCTGGGAGAACCGGGTTTGATTCCTCACTCCTCCACCTGCACCTGCTGATGTGACCTTGGGTCAGTCACAAGCTCTGGCACAGCTGTTCCTAAAAGAGCAGTTTGTGTCAGAGTTCTCTCAGCCCCACCCACCCACCTCACAGGGTGTCTGTTGTGGGGAGGGGGAAGGGAAAGGAGTTTGTAAGCCGCTCTGAGACTCCAAGTGAAGGGCGGGGTATAAATATAATCTCTTCTTCTTCTTCTTCTTCTTCTTCTTCTTCTTTCTTCTTTCTTCTTCTTTCTTCTTCGTCTTCTTCTTCGTCTTCGTCTTCTTCGTCTTCTATCTTGGAGAGTGAAGTGATTTCAGATGCCAAATGACAGTAGCAGGCATTGTTAATGAGAGAAACAACCTAGGTCTCAGTTCAGTCAAGGAGTTTGTCTTGTCTTGAGCTTCGTTATCAGTTGCAGTTCAGCAGTCAGTCTCTCTAATCTGCCTTTGAAATGCCTATGTAAGAGAACTGCTACTCTTAGGTCAGCAACTGAATGTCCTGGAAGGGTAAATGTTCCCCCACTGGTTTTTGAATGTTGTGTTTTGTAATAGCAGTAGGAAAAGTCCAGTAGGAGAGACACTTTAAGATTTACTTTTGCCCTGTATGCAGCCCAGAAAGAACACTGGCAAGAAATATGCACTCTCTACATGTTCATGCTCTTCATTTTGTTGTTGCTTGCTCTTCATTTTGCTGGGTGCTTTTCCAGCAGTTTTTCTCCAGGTAGGCTTGCCAGCTCTGAATTGGGAAATACCTGGAGATTTTGGGGGGAGCCTGAGCGGTGGGTGTTGCCTTCTGACACACTTCCAGTGGTGTCAGGGGGTGTGGCATATGCAAATAAGTTATGCTAATGAGTTATGCTAATGAGCTCCTGCACCTCTTTTCCTACAAAATGACCCCTGATACAAGGTATAAGCTTTCGTGTGCACCCACACTTCTTTAGATATAGGTGTTACTCAGTCCTACCAGCTGTATCTCCAGCTGTTGCAACAGCTGTGATCAGTCGAAAGTAGAAAATTTCTTCTGTAACAAAAGATGTCCACAAACTGTTGGGCTACTCGATAAGTATTAGAATTGCTGTTTTACCTTTGCTCCTAATTCCTGCCATTGGCGTTGTAATTCACAGAAGTAAAGGAACGTTTGCATTACCAAGAGCAACAGAACAACAATTCACCAGGAAGTGGGAAATTTCATCCACTACATTTCCACCTCCTGTACCCCTTGGGAGCAGTTGCGGCTAAACTGGTACCAGCCGGGATTCAGAGTCCCTGGCCTGCAGTTACCCTTTGTGATGTCTTGCTTGCCCAAGTTTTAAGATTAGTGGAAGCCAGCATCTTATAGCCATATAAACAACTGTTGCTTATCTTTCAATATGAGCTGCTAAGTGAGGACACCTGAGCACTCCCTCATAGCAATGATAATATATAGCATTTCTGTAAAATCGTACTATTAAACATGTTTAATCTGCCCTGTAGTGGTATCATCCTGACAGCACATGTGGAAGGAAAGCCATGAGCCTTATCCCCACTTGGGGGGCGGGGTTTGATAGAAAGAGCAGCTTGTTTAAATCAGGGGTCATTTCATAGAAAAAGAGCTAGGGGAGCTCATTAGCATAACTCCTCTTTCTAATCTCCCTTTGAAATGCCTATGTAAGAGAACTGCTACTCTTAGGTCAGCAACTGAATGTCCTGGAAGGGTAAATGTTCCCCCACTGGTTTTTGAATGTTGTGTTTTGTAATAGCAGTAGGAAAAGTCCAGTAGGAGAGACACTTTAAGATTTACTTTTGCCCTGTGTGCAGCCCAGAAAGAACACTGACAAGAAATATGCACTCTCTACATGTTCATGCTCTTCATTTTGTTGTTGCTTGCTCTTCATTTTGCTGGGTGCTTTTCAAGCAGTTTTTCTCCAGGGGGGGGGGGTTGATAGAAAGAGCAGCTTGTTTAAATTCAGTTACAACATGGTTCTATGCTCATTTTCTCCGAACGGTGGGACCTGCTCTCTAGTGAGTGTGTTTTCGATTGCGTCTCAGTGAACTCACAGAGCAAATAACATTGCACCAGGGCCTTTCAGACTGACAGCTCAGTTCATAATTCATCCACTCCACCAACTCTTATAATGATTGCAAAAGCCACCTAATATTATGGTGCTATTCTCCTCTGATTTATTAAGCATCTTTTTTTTTTTAATTTAAGAAGACAGGATACAGAAAGTAAAGGGGAGGGAAAGGGTCATACAACATAATTGTGTTTGTTGAGGGCAATCATGTAGTACAAAATGTATAAGACAGAAAATATTGTCCCTTACATCCCCTTCATTATGATTTTTAAAGTATTATCCATAAAATGCAATCGTTCTTCCTTCTGTTGGGATACGATTGTATTCAAGATTGTATGTAACATCTCAAATACGTAATATTGAATAAGTAGTAATGATGAAAGTAATGATGTAGTCAAAATAGGTTAGTTATGAAGTTTGAAGCTTAAAACTTAAAATGTTGATTTATTAAGCATCTTTTTGTGGCACTGCATCCTAGGAAAGATGTGTGGCTTCAGACTTTGGAATAGCCTTTTGTTTTCTATGAGAAAATAAGCAGTCCTCACTATACAACTTACTTAAAACCGCCTTAAAAACAATCATGCATGCACTTGGTGCAGATATGAGAAAGCAAGACTCCAAATTTGTGTTGGAAAGGGCCAGTTTGGTGTAGTGGTTAAGTGCGCAGACTCTAATCTGGGAGAACCGGGTTTGATTCCCCCACTCCTCCACTTGCACCTGGCTGGATGACCTTGGGCAAGCCGTAGTTCTGATAAGAGCTGTCCTTGAAAAAGAGCAGTTTCTGTCAAGAGTTCTCTCAGCCCCACCTACCTCACAGGGTGTCTGTTGTGAGGAGGGGAAGGGAAAGGGGTTTGTAAGCCGCTCTGAGACACATTTGGGTAGTGAAGGGCAGGGTATAAATCCAATCTCCTCCTCCTCCATACCATCCCCCATCTCTGGCAAATTGAATGCAGCTGAGAATATGTAGGTGAGGGGGGAGGGTACAGGCACAGATGCTTGAGACATAGCCAAATATCAGGAGCTGATTCATTGGTTACACCCCGGAGCAATGTAGTTGAGCATTTAAAGGGTATTGGCTGTTAATACTGAGGGTGGGAAAGGGGATCACCCTGGTGGTGCTGATCATGGGGGTTCATTGGGGTGTAGTGATATTATTCTGTTGTGGGAAGCTGTGTGCATGTAAGTTATTGTGTATCCTCATTTTGCCCTTCTTTTGGCTTGGGTTTGTTTTGGGGTTTTTTTATAACAGACTATAGTGGGGTCTTTATTTAATAGGGAAGTTTCTAGAATGTTTTATTTTTTACAGTGCAGAAGTGTCAGATGTGTTCTCTTCAACACAACATTAAGTGTTTTTATTTAGAAGCTAGCTCGGTTAACTTTAGGATTTAACTTCAGGAATGTATGTGTAGACTTGTCAACTTTTCTTCAGTTTAGTAAAAGACCCTAGATGCCTCCTCTGCAGGCAGCACTTGCAACAAGATCCAGGTTACCAATGGCTTGGTGGTGGGGCTAAACTTAGTCAGCTATTCCTTTAGATATGCTCTAATGTTGCTGTGCTGTGACATGACTGGTCTGTGAGCTCTTTTTACTCTTACCCAGAACTACCCTGTAGCTTGCACTTACTCTCAAGTAACCAAGCATGCTTGAAATGCTTTTTATCTGGGTTTTAAGGAGGAAATGTGTGTAAACTTTCCCAAGGATCTCCTTCCCTCCCAAGGGTGCCTACCAAAACATGTGAAGCATCCCTTTGAAACTCTGGGTGTGTGCATGTGCCCCTCTAGATATCAGCCACAGGGGTCATTTTGTAGAAAAAGAGGTGCAGGAGCGCATTAGCATAACTTATTAGCATAACTATTTTGCATATGCCACACCCCCTGACATCACCGGATGTGTGTCAGAAGGCAACACCCACCACTCAGACTCCACTGGACTGTTTTGGATTGTTAGCTATGGGGGGGGGACGTGCAGATCTGCCCTCACAGAGAAGGGAGAGCTTGTACCTAAATAAAACTTGGTCTTAAAGGTGCCACTGGACTGTTTTGGATTGCTATCTATGGTGTGTGTGTGTGCAGATCTGCCCTCACAGAGGAGGGAGAGCTTGTACCTGAAGGCGGGCTGGGGGGGGCTCCGCAACTTACCTGGCTGCTTCTTGCTCCTCATGGTCCAATTTAGGGCTGCTGGGAGCAGGGGGTGGGGCTTGTTGCATGTGCCCGCCCCCTGGGCTCCTTACTGCCGGAGTTCCGCTCCTGTGCGCTTCTGCAGGAAATGACCCCTGGTCAGCCATAAGGTCAATGGACATGTTCTCCTCAGACAGAGTCCGTCTTGTTAAAAATGCAACAATTATGGGGAAAGTATAACATTTCTTTCCAGTAGCCCAGATTCTGAGGCCGCAGATCGCAAACCCAAAGTACGTCACAAACAATCCAACTCTTACCACGGTTGCTTTAGAGAAGCCGTTCTGCACGTTTGATGGCTCAGTGTCCAAAAGTGCTTCCTATGAAGTACACCTGTACGTCATGGTTGACTCTGGTAAGTGGCAGCTCCTTCCATGGATGTCCTTCGATCCTCTAAAGCAGGAGTGGCCAGACTTGCTTGACGTAAGAGCCACGTGGAATAAACGTCAGATGTTTGAGAGCCACAAGACATTAAGAAATATTACAAGTATTTACTGGGAAATATGCAGATTTGCTTTTTATTAAAATTAAATGAGACTGCCAAAAATAATAACAAAAGCAGATCTTGATAATGATATTTATTTGTCCAATGATATTTGTTTGCTAATGATATTTAGCTTCCCCATGTGCCCTGCCGAGAGCCGCACAGTAGGTGTGGAAGAGCCGCATGTGGCTCCCGAGCCACAGTTTGGCCACCCCTGCTCTAAAGGCTGAAATGAAGTTTGGGCTAGATGTGTTAGGTCTGTTTGCATAAATGCAAGTCGCCACTTGGTAAGAGTCACGGAGTGGTACTTGTTTGGGCTTGGCCTTCCCTGAATTGAGTCCCGTGCACATGCCATGTTTCTCTGTGGCCATTGGCTATGTCTTCTTCTGCTGTTCTGTTTGAAAGGACTGGCTGTATGAACGGGGGAGGCACTGGTCTGTTCATCTTGTATTGTGAATCCTCATGCCCATTCACGGTGTTGGCTATGACCTTTAAAGCCCTTTACAACCCAGAAGGCACATATTTGACGGATCCTGTACGCCAGTAATGGTTGTCAGCCATCCGTCAGCTATCCCACCACTTAGGGGTATCTTGGGGAGAGGCTCCAGCAGCTACCCTGCGATTTTGGAGCCTCTCCCTCAAACCCCCTCCCCTCCAGCCCCCAGAATATACCCTATGTTTTCACCATTGACTTCAATGGCCCATAGGATATAATGAGGCCGAACTGCGGGAAGCCCCAGCAGCCCTCAGGCCGGAGCACCTGGAGCAGTCTTGGGAGATGGATTGGCAAAAAGCAAAACCAAAAGCGCAGGAACTCAAGAGAACTCCAGGAATGGAGCCGGTTCCTCTTCCACAGCCCAAAATGCGACCCACAAACCCTGAGCTTGCCTTTTTCTCATTTGCGAGTCTGGCCTCTGCA